CCACACTTCTGAGCTTACCTCTGCCTTCATATGTCTCGTCAGGTGTTCTTCACAGCAAGAACCATGGAAAAAAACTTTCATTAATCAGCAATTGATCGGGATCTCATTATTACTGCTCTTCCCATTTCTGAACGAACCCTGCGCTCACGACCCTCCCCTCCCCCCAACCCCCTTCGCGGTCAAATACGACCCCGCCGTTGTTTTTCCACAGCGACGGCGTGCCCTGTTCACCCCACCCTTCCTCCTGCTGACAAACACCTTAAACAACGAACATTTATTATTATCAATATTAAAACTGTAAATAATACATAACTGAGGGGAGATATCTTTGTAGATGTGTGACACATGCAATCGAGCATCAAAGGGAACAGTGACCAGTACGAATCAATATTCGAAAGAGATGGACGAACGGGGTATGTTCACACACCTTCTTTCGGACTACGAGACGATGCAATAAACACAAAATATGAGAAGGAAAAAACGAAATTAGAAAGGAAATCAAGTGCCTAGGAAACAAATGCTGCGGCATTTTAACAGAAACCATTTTAGAAACAATCCTTCGCAATACTTCTACAATACACGTCTGTACTCCTCAAGTCGGTGGTGTCTACCTACGCCGCCTCTCTCTACTGGAGCTTCTGTCCCGTCTACGCTCTGAGCTGCGGTCATTACGCGGACGCTTGCGATCGTTTGAGCGACTGCGCCGGCGCTCGCGAGAACGTCGACGTTCTCGCGATCCACTGCGTCTACGCTCGCGCGATCTACTACGTTTGCGATTGCGATCGCCAGATCTGCTTCGCCTACGCTCGCGGCTGCGACTACGTCTGCTGCGATCTTTTGACGAACTGCGTCGACGCTCACGTGATCTGCTTCGTCTGCGGCCACCAGAACGACTCCGCCTCCGTTCCCTGAAATTGGTACCGAGAACTTCTTTAAAAAGAAACGCACAATTTCCAAACAAACTAGGTAAGTTTGACTAATTTCCTCGAATCAACATGAACCAAAAGGCGCGCGCGTTCAAAAATGTGTGATAAGGTCGCTAGACGCTCGTGGCGAGCCTGATGCCTCGCTCATCGCCTGAAGGTACGGCCAAGTTTCTAAGGGTTCCCTGATGCTGCGATTGTTCCATTACTCTTTCTGGTGCAGAGTGAGAGTGGTGTGATAAGGGAAAAAGGAGCAACAAGTGAGAGCCATCTCAACACGATCTCGCCGTATGCACCCACAAACTCGGATCAGCAGGGGATCTTCCCAAACATTCAGGACAATTTTAATTTCTTTTTCTCCACTGTAGAGTTATCCACCAGTTTTTAATCCCTACCTGAGCCCCACTGCCCATATTTGTAACCCATGCCTTTAATATCGATACATTTCCGGGTTTGGAGCGTGTGGCGACATTTACAAACTGAGCAGCATTTTCTAACCATTCCGCAGAACATCCACGTCCGTCAATGCTGACGCCATCTTTGGAAGACGTAGTCCTGTCAGTAAGCACAGAGAATGTATCACTTGCGGATCGAAAGTACGCGATCGAGGTTCCACAAACTCTCGCTTTCACGCCAAGGCAATGCCGCCCTTCCCGCTTAAACAGCGTGCGCCGGCAGTGCTTCCACCTTCTAGAGGATCTCCTAGTGAGCAATCATTTTTCTACAAGCCTTTTCCATTCTGCATATGAGCGGTTGAGCGAAAATAGCTGATATTGTTTTGATACCAACAAAAGGGACTCGTGCAGACATGCCTATGCTTGTAGGAAAACTCCTGCGGAGTGCTCGAGATAAGACCCCCAGACGATAAAAGCTCGTACAAGCTTTTGCCAACTGGGGTCTTATCTCGAGCATTCCGTACGAGTTTTCCTGTTTTTTTTCTTTTCATTCACTGCCGAGTCATCTAGGCAGGGATAGCCGAGTGGTTAAGAGTGTAGACTCATAATCTCACTCTGAGCCACGAGTTCGATCCCTGCCGAGGCACAAACCTGCCTTGCAAAAATTGCAAAAATGGGGACGATACCAGCGTCAGGCCCAGGTTGACAGGCCGGCTGATGGAGGAACCCGTCACAACAACCATGAAGTCGACGAATCCTTGACCTAGCAACAGCCCACGACTTAGCAATCTGCAGCACCTTCTTCGCGAAAAGGAGGACCCAAAAGGTAACCTACAGCAGTGGAGGGAGACAAACGGAAATCGACCATGTCCTGGTCAGAAGATCGTCTCTCAAAACCATCAAGGATATCAAGGTACTGCCTGGGGAAGAGCTGGGCCCTCAGCACAGGCCTCTCCTGGCAGACATCGCCATAGACCTCCCCAAGAAGACAAGGGTCAGAGCAGAGCGAAAGAATTCGGTGGTGGAAAATGGGCAGGGTAGAAAAGGATAGCCTCGGCCGAAGAATACTGGAGGCTGGGCTCCCAGACCCACATGGGCCAGTCCAGGACACCTGGACCTACGCAGCAGAGGTCATCCTACAGTGTGCAAGGGAGGTCCTGGGAGAGACGCGAGGTGGTATCAGAGGAGACAAGGCAGCCTGGTTCTGGAACGAGGAAGTCCAGAGGATCGTCAAGCAGAAGAAGGAAGCATACAAACGCTGGCAAAAGACACGGAGCCCAGAAGACTACGCTGCCTACAAGAGCTGCAAGCGACTCGCTAAGGCGGCCGTTGCTAAGGCCAAGAATACGGAAATGGACGCCCTGTACGACAAGCTGGAAGGCCGAGAAGGGGACAAGTTCGTCTTCCGCCTGGCTAAAGCTCGGCATCGCGCAGCTCAGGACATCAGGGTCGTAAAGACTGTAAAGAGCAGCAACGGGGCCATTCTCAGGAAATTCAGCGCCGAAGTCAGGTAGAGGTGGGAAGAATACTTCGAGGGACTTCTGAACGAAGAATTCCCTCGCAGGGATAGCCCACAGATAGAGGCGACGGCAGGTCCCGCAATCATTCGCCACTCTGGACGAAGGATGAAGTTCGCCGGGAGCTAGGGAGAATGAAAGCTGGGAAAGCAGTGGGTCCAGACGGGGTACCGATAGAGGCATGGAAGGCCCTTGGAGAGCATGGGGTGAGTTGGCTCACGCACTTCCTAAACAACGTAACAGCTGAAGGAAGGATGCCGAATGCGTGGAGGAGCAGCACAATCGTTCCCATCTTCAAAGAAAGGGGACGCGACGGAGTGCTCCAACTACCGCGGGATCAAGCTGACTCCCCATACCATGAAGCTGTACGAGCGCCTGGTCAACACTAGGCTGAGGGGACTTGTCCCTATCTCGCAGGAACAGTTCGGCTTCATGCCCGAGAGGTCCACCACCGATGCCATCTTCATCGCCAGACAGCTGATGGAGAAGTACCGAGAGAAGCGGCGACCCTGCTACCTAGCCTTCCTGGACCTTGAGAAGGCATTCGACCGCCTGCCAAGGCCTGTACTCTGGAGAGCGCTCAGAGAACGTAACGTTCCGGAACACCTCATCTCCATAGTGAAGGACATGTACGATGGGGCTAGAGCAGCTGTACGCACCCCTCACGGCTTGACAGAAAGGAGGTAAACATTACGGTTGGGGTACACCAAGGGTCAGCCCTCAGCCCGTTCCTCTTCCTCCTGACTCTAGATGTCATGGCAAAAGAACTCATGGAGGGACCGCTGAAACCATCCTCTAACATGCTGACGACATCGCCCTGATAGCGGACAGCAGGGAGGAACTTCAGGACAAAGTGCAGCGGTGGCAGGATGTGCTCGCTGCGAATGGACTCCGGCTGAACGTAAAGAAGACCAAGTTCCTAAGCTCCGAAGAGTGCGCCGAAGTCATCGTAGATCGCCATGGCGAGAGCATCGAAAGGGTCGAGGATTTCCAGTACCTGGGGAGCAACCTAGCAGCTGATGGCAGCGTGGACCAGGCGGTGATGGCCCGAATCAACGCAGCCTGGATGAAATGGAGGGAGTCCACTGGCATCCTGTGCGACCGGCGGTGCTCGAGAACGCTCAAGGGCAAGGTGTACCGGGCTGTGGTAAGGCCTACAATGCTCTACGGCAGTGAGTGCTGGCCTATCTGCAAGAACCATGAAAGGCAGCTCCACTCAGCTGAAATGAGGATGCTGAGATGGGCCTGCGGCTGGACACGACTCGACAGAGTCAGAAACGAGGACGTCAGAGCAGTCACACAGACGGCTCCTATCCAGCTGAAGGCACGAGAGCAGCGACTGCGATGGTACGGTCATGTACTGAGGAGGCCTGAAGACCACCCAATAAGGAAGGCATTGGAACTCGAAATAGAGGGCAAGCGACCACGAGGAGCCCCAAAGAAAAGATGGAGGGACGTCATCAAGAGGGACCTCACTGAAGTGAAAGCAACAGCAGATAAGTATGGCAGTGAATCGGAAGCTAAGTGGGCGACGTCTAACAAGATCATGCGGACCCTGCGAGCGGCGCGGGACTACGCAAAGGGAGAAGAAGATCACTGCCGAGTCATCTACTTAGTACCTACCCTGTCAAAAGTATCTGAGGCCCACAGCCCATCATATATGTGATCGACGTAGCTAAAGCTCCATACCCACGGGTTACAATCCTACTCAGCAAAGCAATCGCGAAAATCTTCCTTCTCCTTTTGAAGACGTAGTTCGCACTTGTAATTTGTGAGCAGGGGTTCAGGAGCGCAAAGGATATGCCGTAAGCATATGTTGAGTTACCAAGGAAGATAAACAGAAGAAACCGCCTAACACCCATAATTAAGCCCTTTGATTTTCGAGCTGGAGTGAAAGCACAATGAGAAATGTTTGGAATATGAACCGATGAGAAATCAGAGCTCGCTAGCTCTTTCAAGATACTTAAAAGGATGAGACCTGCTCACCTGCTACGAGATCTACTTCTGGCGACGCTGAATGCGCGCCTTGGCCGTACCGAGATCTACTTCTGCGACGCCTTGAATCCGACTTTTCGGAACCATTTTTATCCGTATCATTTTTACCTAAACGACATCGTGGTGATAAGTATGTGAGCACTAGGAAAACTCATCTATTGCAAAATTCGTAACCAACCAGAATGCCGTAAATTCGTTTTATCTGAATCCATACCATCTCCAGCAGTTACAGCTGTTGAAGAGTCTTCTAAAGCACAATAGGATCGTAGATTCGATCCTCAATTTTTCTAAGGTCTGATGAGGATTTGAACAAAAATGGTCATTTCGGATTTGTACCACAAAACAACAGCAGAATTGCGCCTGGATTCACTGCACTACTGGCGAAATACGAACAAGTTCACATACCTGTTGTGCTAGACGTTTGCTTACTACTCTTTCGTGGGACCCCAAATGGGGTCTTGAATGCGGCATTATCCTCGCCCGACTCACTCACTGGTGATGGTTCACCGTTGGCATTCTGCTTCTTCTCGTCACCGTCGCTGTCCTCGTCGTCGCTCTCATCGCCTCCTCCTGTCATTTACTATTTATCGTCAGAGTAAAAAAATGAAGAGGAAAACGTTGAGAATTTTGGTTCAGTTTTGTAGCAAATTACAAAATTCCAACACCCAACATGAGGTTTTTATGACTTTTATCCGAAATAACAACTCAACAAATCAACAAACAAAAATGGGCAAAAGTACGAAGCGCGAATTTCGCGCGAGAGTTTTGCTAACCAAAATTCGGAGATTACTTTGAGGAAAAAAAATCAATATTGTTTGTCAAATAGCTAACTGCAAGCGCGAAATTCACGCGTTACAAATCATAAATCGTTTTCAATGAGTATGTATCAAGGGTGAAAAGAGAGTGCATTTGAATTTAACCACGGAAAACGTCAATTCCGTGAGAAAAATTCTGGCAATTTTAAAGCCGAGCTTAGCTCTATCTTTAATGTCCGAAATGATGTAAAACTATAAGATTAAAAGCTTACCGAGACTAGACAAAGCCGCCAATGCGGAACTCTTCGCAAGTAGCTTTGGCTCAGCTAAACGGATGATTTAGAAACATGAAGAGATCAAAAAAATGAATAATTGAAGCTTATGAATATGAACATGTTACCCGTTTATGAGTAAACCCGAATGGTTTTACCTGTATAAAAACTGAGCAATGTTTGATACAATTACAGTCTACTAGAACAATTCAATGACAAAACACTTCACTATGAAAGACTCCCATAACCTAGGAAATGGTGTGCAATTGCACAAAAACTCAGCACTGTAGACAAATTGCTTCAGCGGACCTTCGTGCTTTGCTTCTCGAATACATTCGTTGATACTTGAGCGTAGCAAATCGTCCGTAGCTTCCATTAGCAAAGCCATCATAATGAATCTCACAGCAACCATCTGAAACGAGAAGATGTGTTCTTGAAGAAATTTCCGATCCCTCAATGTAGCCTATGTTTGAGCAGTTCAGGATGACACAGATGGGGTCACTCGGCATTGAACCCCACTCCCTACATCCCCTGAATCTTACTCTTCAACAACCATTTCTCGCTTCCTACAGCTATCTGAGCCTCGTTTCAAGAAAAAGTGCCATGTCACAGGTAATGTCGGTAATTAGTTACTTGACTACCATCACACCAGTTTAAAAACAAACTACATTCACCTTCAAGGACGGTCCTTGCCGTATGCGAGGCGAACGGCTGCGCAGCTGCCCTCCCCTCAAAAGTGCACGGAAACGGGGCTACAGGTTAGTGCTACACGAGTACCATCTCCATGCTCCACGTACTCAAGGTGCAGCGCTTGCGTCCATGCCCAAGTCCCGCAATAAAATACGTACTAAGCGGCAGCGAACAACCAGAATTGAAGGGGCGCAGCGCAGACAAGTGGGGGCAATTGGCTGTGGCTGGGTCAGGTCCACCTGGTACAGGAGGACCACCGTCTCATTCATCTGGACCGCCTTCATGGTACCCTCCATACTACCCACCAAATTCATTTTCATCCGGTGGATCTAATGCGGCTCCGCAGCAGCATGGAAACAGTCAAGCACCAGCACCATTCTTTTCAATAGGGTGGTGCGTAGTTGATCCTTTTCCTTTTATCACCTTGCCTTCAAATCTTGTTCCGAGAGTGAGCCACTTGCAGACGCCACCACCCGAAAAAGATTGCCGGCATGGATTTTGGAAGGCCTGGAGAAAGCAGAACGTGAAAAGATGAAACAACTGGAAAAAGAAGAACGTATGAAAAGAGCAGAAGAGGAAAGAGCAAAGCGACGAGAGTTAGCTGGAAAGGGCAGATTCGTAAGCTATCTCAATGTGTTCCGCATCAATATTTTGTAATTTGTGGAAATTCCCATCGATTAGTTATTTTTTAAGTCTCTTAATGCCCTTTTAATGCAGGACAGCAGCAGTGAAGATGAAGACGAGGGACACGCTGATGATGAGCGCTCACGATCCAAGTCACGGCAATCAGTTGGGGCCGAGGATGACGATGGTGAGCCGGTTTTCTTAGCGAAACGGCATGTTCTTCCTGTTGAAGACCTTCGCTCAGAGGAGGAAAAGAAGGACGAGGGTATGTGAATTTGCTTTTTGTTGACGCAGCGGATGCTCTCCTGCCCTCAGTTCTATAGTATTTCTGCCAATTCTTAACTGCATCTGCCGTACCTTATGGATGCCATCCTCTTTTTATATAGCTTCGTATTGTATTTCTATAAGCTCACACATAGAATTTCGGCAGAAAACCCGCGTTGTGGCGAAAGCAGCAGATTCTGTCGCGTATGATGCTGTATTCGCGCCAGAGCCTTGGACATTGTTCACAATCTGCGGGCCTGTGCAATCGGCGGAAGAAGCGCATTGTACAAGGGTTGAATACTTATCGATCGGCAGTTCCGGGAACTGCCCCTTTCTGTACCTTACTTGGGCAGAGTTCATCGAAATCGACAGCCTTTTAACCTTTTTCGCTGTGGCGCCACATCCGCCCGCTCTGTTCGCCAGCTCGCTCTCGTTATCAACACGTAAAAAAGTTTTGTGGATTCGATTCGCTTAGATCGTTCACATGTAAAGTGTGGGATATGGTTCGCGAAGGAGGGCGGGGGG